GATGGAGGGTATCAGATAATAGTGGGCCGCAGACTCTTGGAAACTAAGAACACATATTGTCTTTCAAAGGAGACAGCCATTTTTCAGTTCTGTAGAATTATTTCCACCTGGTTCTGCCAGTCTTCTGAGTTTTTTCCAAGGGAACCTTAACATCCAGAAAGTATAAATAATCTCATTTTTTAAAATGCCAACAATAGTTTCACTTAACTAAGAATCTGTGTGAGTAGAATGAAGCTCATCTAACTGGCCGCATCATCCTATGGATCTCCAGTTCGTGACCTCTGTATCAAGTCCATTTAAAAACAGACGCGTAAACAAGAGAGTCTGCATATATTAATTCAGTTTAATCATATCAATTCTTAAACAAAAAAATTTCCTCCAAGAGACAATAGTTCACAGTAACTGCAAAGCTTACTCACAACTCTTAAAAATACCAGTCATGCTTAGCATTCAAAGAAGATATTGTAGAATAACTGTAAAAACTTTTACCAGGAACATCAGCTTCTGACTTTAAAAATTACAAATACTGAAGCATTTTGGTATCAGATACGGTAATTTTGACATTGTTCGTTTGATGAGTTTCCGGAAGTGTGGAAAATTGTACCTCTATAATTGGATAATGTGCTTACTCTAAACTAAACATTTTCAAATGTAGAAAACAAACTAGCAAGCTACACATACAAAGAAAAGCCCTCTAAGACAAGCTCTTCACATGTTGACTGCCAACATACGCACCATGAATCCTGGAAGACTAGAGTTGATACATATACTGGGCCTGAAGTCTTATGCCCCAGGCTCAAAAATGGAGTTTGCATTCACCTACACATTAATGACAAACTCTGGGTTAGTATAAGAGAAGCCAGCAAATTCATTTTGGTCCAAGTTCATGATGAAGAGTTTATCAGTGGGAGTCAGTTCCACAGGCTGTCTGGTGAACTCTTTGTCGAAGTTGGAGGTATCTCGCTTGTCTCTCTGCCAAATGGAAAGCAAACACGTTAACACAGTATAAGAAGAAGGAAACGGGACCAAGACACACCAGTTACTGGGAGTCTGATGTCATCTCATGAGCAGAGTCAGAAAGAGCCCTGTGCTGACAATTTTTAGCAGCTCATTGCACATACTGGCTTTCATTTCCCACTGTTTGTTGCCTTCGGGATAGAGAACTTGGTGGGAATTTTCTAAGAAAGGAAATAAGTCATTGAATTTCTTTAAGTATTGCCACAAAGTGGTGTGTGTGTGTTGTATTTTCTTTGGTTATGAGAGGAATTGAATTGGAAAGAACTTATCACCATGTATAATGCTGTAGAATTAGCCATTAGGTACAGTGTCCTAGAGAAAACTGATCAATAGTGACCCCTGTGGCTAGGAGGCCTCTTTCTTCGTCAAGGTGAATTTGCACAGCTGTTCTCCTTTCCAAGAAGGTGGAATGGCCACGTGGGGAAATCAGATCTCTGCTTAATGCAAGGAGATGATGATTGTCCGCCCCACACGTGATGGTACAATCTAGTCTTTGAAGGAGGATACCAATAACCCACCTACAGACTAGAATTTGGGTCTCCATCAGCCAGAAGTTCTCTCCAAAGGTGTTCGTTGTATCATTGCAATAAAATCCAAAGCTTAGAGTTAAGCCTGTTAGGGCAGTCTTATAAAAACAGAACAAAAGACTTTGATTGTCCTAGTTTGCCTGGCATTTCTTTTTTTTTTAGTGGAGAGGTGAAGGAGATATTAACCCTAATTTACTAACTCTAGTTTGGAGCAAGTTTTACCAAGGAACATCAGAGTGTGGGGCTGATGAATGGATCTTCTGTGTGATACGCTGACCTCTCCAGGGTCCCCGTCAGCTTATCATTTCCTCCCATCCTCACCTATCCACTCGGGAGGCTGGTAGAGCTGGAGTCCTTGCCCTCCTCCCCATTGTTTGACAGATGAGAAAACTGAGTCACAGACTGGTGAAGGGACTTGCTCAAGACTGCACTGTGGATTTGTGATGATTTCCAGACCCCATCACTGCTCAATATACCTGCTCTCAGCTCCTCTGACTGGAGGGACAGCCTAAGGGACAACCAAGGATAACCCCGGGGATTCACTGGCCCCTGGCAGGCCACTAGCCTAAAAACAGATTATAAACAGGGTGACCGGGCCGGTGAGGATTGATCACCTCATTAGAGTTTGGCCAATTGCCACACAGAATTTAAGTTTATCCCGTAATGGTCACTGGCTGATACGGGTTTCTCATTACTGGGCTCATTCCCCTTTGGAAGACACCTTTCATAAGAACATGTCTTTTGGGCTGTTCCCCTGAGATACGTACAATGTCTCTATGGAGTTCTCTGCTTACTCTGTGTGGGGATGTGGCAGTGAGGACAGACTGTCTGAGCAGCATACTTGGGTATGTGTGGCCAGAGCAGAGCAGGCAAGAGATGCTAGTGGAGCTGTTTTCTGGAGGGTGGGCCACTTCCTGCCTCGTCCCACCCCCTCTGCCTTGCCTTTTCCTGCCTGCTGTGAGTCTGTGCTGGGCTGTGGGAGGCTCCATCCCCCAGGAACTCAGTGTGTTACTTCCTGTGTTCAGAGCAAAGCTCGCTTGCCTCCTCTTCCTCTAAATTGTCTGTGCGTCCCTCTCCCAACCCCTGCAAGTCATACTTCGGCATCCTTCTCATTATCTTTATTGCACTTATTGCTTTCAGAAAGTGTCTCGCTTATTTATTGTTTGTCTAAGAGGGCAAGGGCAAGGTCTGTTTCTTCATTATTGTACTTCTAGTGCCAAGAACAGTACTTGGCACATGGTAGGCTGTTCGTGATTATTTGGTGAATGGATGAATCAATGAATGAAGACTTGACCAAAGAAGGGCCTCCTCGATTTTTCTAACCTATAGTCACCCCCAAGGCAGGGACTTCTCTCTGATGCAAAACAATGGAATGGAACTTATTCTCATTGCTCTACAGGTCCCCCAAATGGGCCACTGTCCATTTTGAGCCTCTGTATGAACTGAACTGTGTTAGGGCCCTTGAAGGTCTGAGAGCCCCGTGGCTGTGTGTGGGCTGGAAGGCTAGAAGATAGGAGCTGCCTCCTTTCAGGTTTCCCCTGGTTTCATCAACCCTATCCAGCCTTCCCTGTTTGGGGGCACGTAGCAGAAGTTCTTGTCCCACCAGCTCCAACTTTGGAAGCCCTTCCCCATTTCTTGTGCTGGTAGAGACTTATGCTTTCGGTAGCCACATGGTCCAGATAGGATTTGTCCTTAGGGACTTTGTCCTGTGAGCAGATCCCCATAGGAAACACTCTTGGATTTTACCCTCAAAGTTGGGAACGAATGGGTCTCTCTGTTGGGATAATTCCTTTGGGGTTGATAGCATCTGAAGCCACATGAGAATAGCAGCATTCATCCAAGGAGGTCTATTAATTCCCGTGACCTCCTCCTATTAATCCCCCCAGAAGGTCATTGTGGCTATGGCCCTATGTTTTCTTAGAAGAGCTCTGTTTCTCAGACTTCTCTGCACTGGGAATGTGGATAGAGAGGAAACCGTAGGAATTCTGATACTGATTCCTTCCTTCCCTTTATGACCAATCCCCAGGAAAGTGTGCTAGGGGAACAGAGACTTTGGCTTGTGTATCTATTTCTGCAAACTATTAAACTTTGGAAAAAAGTGGCAAGAATTTGGAAAATGTAGAGTTAATATACAGATACACTATATTTTATCTATCTATCATTCTACCCATCCATCCTACACTGTCCCCTAAAGTTGTCTCAGATTATATGTCAATGGCCCAGAGTTTCCCCACGGTTTTTATCTTTCAAGCAGAATGAGAGCATGGTCCCACAGCCAGATGAAGGACCTGAAATAACTTGCTGGTTGGTGGGTATGATTCAGAGATGCCTATTACTTTGTCAGAAAGCAGAAAGAGCCCTGGGCTGAGGATCAGGAAGCCTGGGTTTGTATCCCTTCTGACTAACCTTGGGCAAGTTACTTCACTTTAGGTCTACACTACCACCAAGCTCCCCAAGTCTGAAGCTATAAAAAAGCAGAGAAGCCTGATCTTCAGGGGACTTTGCCTAAGTGGAAACCCATATCATGGTTTTTTTAAGGATAGGAAGTCTTACATCAAGGACATTTGTCAAGTTTTTAATGTTCCCTTGATGGTCTCTGAGAAGCCTGGAACTTCTGGAAATCACTTGAACGGTGATAAGAATTCTCGTTAGGGCTGCCTGAGAACAGCAGGACATAGTAGGCAAGGATGAGAGTCACCTGCTGTATTAATCCGCTCAGACAGAAAGGAAATTTCTCCCACCCAAGCGTTTCCTTCTAGCTGCCTGCTAGAAAGAGTACTTAGTCCAAGCCGGGAGGAGTGGTGATTTTGATAAGAAAGTGTAGAGCCCCACTCATGTTCCCAGCTGGCTTTGAAAGTTGACTCTGGTAGAAAAGTGGGCTTTGGGCTCCAACATCCTTAGAGGTTCTGGACAGGCCATCTCGCCCCACTGAAGGCCACCAGGAGTCCCTGAAGGGTCCACAGCCCCTGCCTCTCTGACTAGCTGAATACTGGGGCCAAGATTAAGCTCTGGATTTAGTTTCTTTCTCCTGAGTTCCTTCCTCAGGCCCCACTTTGTAGTCTGGGTCCACATTTTTCAAAAAAGATCAGTTTTCCTTGAAATAGTATTTCTTCTTCTTTTCTTTGTTTTTTTTTTTTATTATTATTGTATCTCGATGCTAGAAGAAAAAGGGCACATAACAGATAATCCAGATACAAATGAACATTTCCACAAACATCTGGCAAAACAACATCAAAGTGAAGAATAGAACCGTTTTTCTTTCGAGAAATGGCTTCTTTCGCAGAGCACTTAATGAGCTTTCCAAAGCCAGTGACAAACCTAGGCCAATCCCATCACCACTGGCATGGGTCTGCTAGGGTCCACGACCGTCTTCTTGGCAAAATCAAAGCAGATCATTGTGGTTAATGACATCTGGACACATATTTTAAAGCACGTGTAACAAAGTGAGTCACTTTTTTTTTTTTGCATTTGAACAACAGAAACAAAATCCCAAAGCAAATAAAGTTTGAAATGTCATGTAAAACCATGGCCCTTCGGGACCTTGCTAGAGTGACCGTGTCTTTCAGGGAGCCGTGCCAAATGCCCTCTTTCAGTAGTTTGGGAATGAAGGTGACCAGAGACATATAGTGTCAGAAATTACAACACCGAGATAGCACCCAAGCCGGTTGCCTTTTGACCCCCTGAAGTGCTTTTAGATGGAAATTATCTAGAAGCACACTCTTGGAATTTTAGAACGTAGATGATCTTCTTAGTTTTGAGTTAAAAAAGAAAAACAGATAAGATTTTATTAGGAGCATGTTCTTTTCCAGGCTCTGATGTCTCCAGAAGAGATAGAAGAGAAGGACCCCTCTAGGCCAAAGCAACCATATACTTGGGTACAAGCCACGCTCCAGGCCGGACGTGGAAGAACACTGCTAGCATTCGATTACCCACGTATTTGGTAGGAAGGATCTAGATGGGATGGTTGGGGGGAAAACGGCAGTGCAGGGAAAGAGGGGAAGAAAGCAGGCATTTTCGTTCCCCACTGGGTCTACTTAGCTGACATGCTGCAGGAAATGAATTGTTAAGAGGACTTTGATAAGGTGTTAATTATGCAGCAGCATTTTCCATACGCCATCTGCATAATCCCATCTTGTAGAGAGGCTCCAAACTACCTGAGGACATTTGGGTCCTGAAACACGGTCACTTTAGTCTCATCAGAAAATCAAACATGGATGCGACTTGGCAATGAAAAAAAATAAAATAAATGTCACCACAATAGCCGTTGAGCTTGAATGACAGAAATGAAGGACGGAGATCTACACATCTACTTAGCTCTTGACTTCAGGTTTTAAAAATTCAGAGTTAACAAAGGAAAATCCTTCGAATTCTGATTGGTCAATATTCCTGATGACTTCCTGGTCAGGAGGTGTTAGGACTGGTGGATGGCGGGTGAAAAATCGGTCGAAGTTTTCAGCATTTCGCCCACACTATGAGAGGGGAAGAAAAGAACTTGTGGTGGGTGGGGAAAAAAAAACCAAAAAACAAAGAAAAACAAAAGCCAAAGCCAAAATAAAACAGAACCTAGCATAACTGGGTGTGCTTTTCTCCAATCCATTGCCTTTAAGAAACTCAGAGAGGTTGTTCTAATGATTAGAAATGAGAGCAACATAAAATGCAAAATTCCCATGACCTTTGGTGCATGACCTTAGGCTCCTGACCTTCAGTTGCTGTAGCTAAGGAGCTGCTCCTGGTGTCCCGGGCAGTGAGGAGATGTATGGCAAAGGCATGAGATGGTGGGGCCAGTGGCATGTGCATTTTCCCCTACCCCACCCCACCCCAAGGAGTCCGCCAAGCTCATCTGTTGGGAAAGATGAGATTAAAGTACCTGCGATGCTTCATGTCATGCGAGATGCAAAGTAATGACCCATTCATACGTCACCTGGGAGATCCCCATATTTATAGCAGCAGATCCCTCAAAATACTGTCTTCGGGCTCTCAGTCAGGAACAACAGATGTTTCCAACTCAACAGAATATAGTTTACAAACTCCAGTCCATAGAGAAAGATCTCAACTGCAAGACCTGGGTTTGATGCCTGCAATGCCTGGGTGACCACGAGGCCTGTTAGCTGGATCAGTCATTGACCCTTAAGTACCAGGTATCAGGAGGTAAACTCAGCCATCCTCTCTCCAAACAGGAAGGAAGAGTGTGCAGGAAACACAAACTAGCACTTGGTGAGGCAATCAGGTTCTAGAGAGAAATCATCCCATTTCTCACCCGTTCTTCTGGTCCTTCTATACGAAAAGGTCCCTGACTGAGGCAGTTATAACACATGTGTACATGTGTGCATGCATGCCTGAGAGCACACACATGAGCACATGCTAATTCCCACCTACCATGAAGAGACACATCACTAAATCCCACAAAAGCTCTAAGTGCTTCACACGTAGTGTGTATAGGAGGTAGCTACAACATAACAATATAACAGTAGTACTAATAATAATTATGATAGCTAATTTTTAGTATGGATTTGTCATATACCAACTAACTGGAAAGCTCTTTCCTTGCATGACCTTTTTTCATCTTTCCAGTGACTCTGTGAAGTGAGTATTATTATCAACTTCATTTTGTAGGTGAGGGAACTGAGACCAGGGGGATTATGGAATTTGTTCAGGGTCCCACAGCTAATGAATAGTAGAGCTATAAGGTGAGTCAGGTCCATCTGACATCAAAGCCCAAGCTCTTGGCTCCATTTCTACAAGTACAGCGGACAAGCTTGTGACTGATTGAATATTTAAGCTGGGCAGGACGGAGGGCAGTCAGTGATGGCAGGATGAGGTCTCTGCTTTGAATGACAGAGAATGTGGTTGTATGAACCATGGAGGCAGAGAAGTTGGGAGATTTTAGAAAGACGACTATTTCCATTTTGGATAGGACGAACCTTGAGGAGGCAGTGAGAGTCTAGGTGAGGAGCAGAGGGAATATGGGTTCTGAATCTTAGGACTGATGTCTTGAAAAAAAATTAAGGATGGAATAAAGAAAATGGTAATAAAAACCTCTGAGCACTTTCTATGCAACAAACATTTGCTAAGTGCTTTTTGATACCTGACTTTATTTATTTAGACAGAATCTCACTTTGTTGCCCCAGGCTAGAGTGTTGTGGCATCAGCCTAGCTCAAAGCAACCTCAAACTCCTGGATTCAAGCAATCCTGCCTCAGCCTCCCAAGGAGCTGGGATTACCAGCACCCACCACATGCCCAGTTAACTTTCCTATTATAGTAGAGTTGGGGTCTCAAACTCCTGGACTCAAGCAATCCTCCCGGAGTGCTAGGATTACATGTGTGAGCCACCATGTCTGGCCATACACGACCTTTTAAATTCATGTAACAATGCTTTGGGGCAGGTAGTTCATTCTCATTTGCCAATGATAAAATTGCCCCTAAACCCATCTTAGTAGAGTGGGAGAAGAACCAGGAGAGAGCAGCAGCAGACAAGCTAAAGAGGGAGAGCCATCCAAGGAGAAGGGCATGGTTATCATTGAAATATTGCCAAGAAGTCAAGCCGAGGAGTCACTGAAAATGGGCCATTGCATTTAGCAACAGGGAGGATACTGGTGAGAAATACAGGGCTGCCACTGAACTCTAGTAGCTGGAATGAGTGCAGGTATGTTGAGAAAGTCAAGAAATGCAAGCTTCTTTTCAAAGCCTTATCGGTAAGGGAAGCAAGCAGAGACTGAGCTCTCCAAGAGCCTCCTGCTTGCTTCTTATTTGGGTAGAAGCGAGCCCAGGCGTCTGTATTCTGCAGACATGAATTTGAATACTGACAGCACGCTACCCATTAGCTGTGCAATTCTGGGCCCACTCTTTAAAAATGCAGTTTCCTTTTTTGTGAAATAGGGACAATTCTAATTCCTATCATATAGGGTTGTAATATGGGGATACAATGAGATAATGCACTTGCCTGGCACCAAGTAGGGCCTCAGCACATCAGAGCAGCAAGTAAGGTCCCGATTTTCTCCTCCAAATCCTTAGAGACAACATATGCTTCCTATGATAGAGTATTTCCATGGTGTTTAAGTTTTAGAAGCTGAGGAAATAGCCCTGAATTTTTAAAAGGCTCATGTCAGCCTGAAAGAAACATTTGCTATTCCAAACTAAATTGTTTCAGCTGTTTTGAAATCTTGGCTTCAGATCTCAGAGAGAGAGAAGTGACCTTTAGCCACATTATCAAGACCAGGGGTCTGTTCTGCTGGCCAGTGGGGTAAACTCGAACAAAAAGGATGAGCTGGAGTCAAGTCAGCGTGGTCAGGATTATTGTCTGGATTCATTCATTTGTTCATTCATTTTCTCATTCAACAAATATTTACTGAGCGTCTACTCTGTCCCTAGCCCTAGAAGTAAACGATACAAAACCCACACCTCGTGAAACCTACATTCTACTGGGGAAGAAAGGCAAACGTAGAAAAATGCAACTGCCAATGTAAATATATATTTTAATGTTAGATGGAGTTCAGTGATGTTAAGAAAAATAAAGTCAGATCAGGGGATCGAGTAAGAGTGATGCCATTTTCAGCAAGGTGAAATGAAGCTCTGAGGAAATGATCTTGGCGCAAGACCTCAGTGAAATGAGGGGGTGATTGGAGGAAAACCATTCTAGGCAGAGGGAACTGTACGCGCAAAAGCCCTGAGACAAGAGTTTGCTTGGCATAGTCACCAAAGAGCAATGAGGCCAGTGTGGCCAGAGCAGTGTGACCAACGGGGAAGGGATGGGGGGGGGCACAGAGGGCACAGGAGCTACAGCACGGGCTGTGCCAGCCATATGAGGACAGAGGATTTTCATCTCAGCTTGAAGAGAAGTGGCAGAGGATTCAGCGTCCCAAGTGATAGGATCTGCCTTATGTTTTAAACAGAATCACTGATGCAGTGTATAGAACAGACTGAATGGAAACAGTGAGACCAATTAGGAGGCTGTTGCATATTCCATGTTAAGATGAAGGGCTGGGCTTGGTGGTTCACACCTGTAATCCTAGCACTCTGGGAGGGTGAGGCAGGTGGATCACCTGAGCTTAGGAATTCGAGACCAGCCTGAGCAACAGTGGGACCCTAGCTCTAAAATATAGCCTGGCATTGTGGCAGGCACCTATAGTCCTAACTACTCAGAAGCTTGAGGCAAAAGGATCGCTTGAGCCTAAGAGTTTGGGGTTGCTGTGAGCTATGATGCTATGGCACTCTACCAAGGGCAACAAGTGAGACTGTCTCAAAAAAAAAAAAAAAAGAGAGAGATGATGAAGGCTTAGAGGAAGGTGATCAGTGGGGAGATAGAAGGATGAACTTGGATTTGGGGTACATTTTTAATTTGGAGCTGACAAGGTTTGCTGAGGGTTTGAGAGGAAGAGAGGAGTTGTTTGTTGGTGGCCCAAGACATTTGGCCTGAGCTATTAGTGAGTGGAGACAATAGGACAGAGCATGTTCCTACTGGGGAATCAGAGACTTGGTTTCTTTTATGATAAGTATGAGATTCCCACGGAGATGTCAAGGATGCCGGAGTCCCCTCGGCTGCAGCGTGGGGATTGTAAAGGGCTGGAAAGCTAAACCGGAGGAAGGAATGTGGGGCAGGAGACTGCTGCAATTATCCAGAGGAGAGGATGGTGGCCTGGGTTGTGGAAAAGGAGGTGGAGCAGAAAATAAAGGAGGGGGGACGGCAGGGACTGTCGATGTGAGTTAGAAGGCAGACCTGTGGGTGTTTTCCTTTGGCCTGTGTGCTGGAACCCAAGCCAGCCAGTGTAGGAAGCACATTAGCTGAGACACAGAGAGTCTTCAGGGACCATTTTTCTTTAAAAACCATCCATTTCCCATCCGCACCAGAAGGCTGTTGCTTTGCAGGGGCCTCCCCCGGGGCTGTGATGGGAGACAGAGAAACAGCTTCTGGCAGCTCCACACCCCCTTCCCTCATCCTGCCCCCCCCCCCCCCCCCGTTCCCCCCGCCACTGGCTCAGAGAACAATGAAATCTTTAAGTGAGATAGCACAGAGGAGACGTTAGAACAGGGGTTAACCAAGGGGGCATAATGCAGCGGGAGCGTGATTTCCCTGCTAATAAGCAGCTTACGGGGCTGGCAGATCACAGCCTCCCTGTTAAGTGTTTCTGTGTTTTTCAAATGGAGCTGTCACTGCCCATTAGCTTCAGGAACGCTCCCTAAATGGAGACGTCAGCCCTTGGGAGGCACAGCCCGGATCAGCTCCCGCCTGCTGTGTCCTTGGAGAATGGGCTGCTGCGTGGCTGGGATCTAATTACAAACGCAGCGTGGACCACGCCTGCCTCCCTGGCTGTCTTGGGTGAATACTTGAGCCTCATTCAGCTACTAGAAGAAAACGCAACCCCCTGGTCATCAGAGTACACCAGTGGGCCTCCTGGAACAGGGATGGAGACCGGAAACCAACTACATTATTTAAATCCCAGGTGCTTCTTCCAGGGTTGGAGAAGAGAGTAC